AACATAGATAGCTCTGTCGCCGTAGAATCAGCCGATCTCGCAACATCTTCCGTTGGCATCAACAGCACTACGGCGAGGACGGCTGGTTACCTATCCAAGTCTCGGTCGAGAAGGGTTTCCGAATCCTTATTGATTGAGGTCATCTCATTAGCCTTCTCGGCGAAGTGAGGTGTTACAGCTTACTGAGCTTGACGCATTGCACGCCGAGTTATTTTATGATTTTATGATTGGATATTCTCAAGTAGGATTTGGAGTTCGGCATTCAGATGGCCGAACCACGTTCACTATTAAGACTCATATCTGCTTTGAGTATTTGTGCCCTTACACTTTAGTGTCGATTCGGCATGAGTTTACTCTGACGAATACCATCACTGTGACCGAATCCGACGATGGCGATTCGTGAACTTCGTAAGAATAGTAGCCTTGTCTTCAGGTTCAAGGACCCAAGAGGCCGAGACGTGTTTCTTCCTCAGCCGTAATTGCAAGATGCAGAAGTCAGCCGCACACCCAACACAACATCAACAAATTTACTCCTCGACCGAGTTCTGCCGACGAGTTAGCACGCCCTGCATTCACCGAAGGACGTAGTTAGCTTATAGATTACTCGGCCTGTGCGCCATGTAGGCTTGGTAGTTTTTTAGGGTCAACATAAACATATGTCCATGGCTTTGAATTCACCTCTAACTATGAAAAAATTAGTTACACATGTTCATAACAATTGAAAAGCAAATTGAAATAAACATTGAAACTAAAATGAGGGAAGAAAGAACTCTTAGAACTCCAATGGTTGCAGGTGACTTGCGCACAAGGTCCTCCTTCTCCAATGGAAGCGATGGTAAAGCTCCTTCATCTCCAAAATTACGGCTGAATGTGTTTTAGAATTATATGGGGGTGGTAATATGAAATTGTGGCTGAAAACATATATTTATAGGCTAGGGTTTTCACAAATTCTGATGGGAAAAGGCTAGGGTTTTGCGGCACAAGGCTTGGCCCAATCCATGGGGGAAAATAACTAGGGTTTCTAGCAGATTTTTAGGGTTTCTAAAAGGGGTTGAGGCGCCACTTTTGTAGGCTTCTAGAAAGAACATGTTTTGTGGCAGAAATTGGAACTTCTAGTAGGGTTTGGGGGGCCACCTTTCTAGGGCTTCTAGAAAGGTGGGTGCAGCACATGTATAAGGGAAGATATAGGCCTTCTAGAAGGGTTTTAGGTCCCCTTGTAGCGGATTATTCATCTTCCAAGTCTTGAATTAATTTCTCCATCTCTTTAGCACATTCCTTGCTTCATTTGATCTTCAAAAACGTCCATTCCTTGTGCTTCACATGCATGCAATCCAATTCAGCCCAAAAATGCTCTAAAATGCTTCAAAATGCATTTTCTTGCCAACTTTGCCAATTAGACCTACAAACATACGAAAATAGCTTAAATCATTATAATAAACACAAACTCGCTATGAAAATGCAAGAAAACAAGCTAACTAAGTCTTATAAATATGTTCCTATCATATGCTTCGACCTGGACCATATGTATGTATGTGCAGGTCAGTGCTGTCTGTACGGATCTCGGATATCTACCTGTTGTTAAGTGGCTTTCTGCCCCATGTTGCCCTGCTAGTGAACCTAAATGACATGCTTCAATTGGCCTTTAATTTATCCCTAAACCCTACTAGCAGGCATAAACATATTGCAAATTATTCGGATATCTCAGTTACTATTGTTTTTCAATCGTTAATCTTTTAGTTGCCAATAATTTTGGTGTTAACAATAATGGTGATAATAAATATTGTGAATATGCTTATATTGCAGGGTGGGATTTGGGAGGTTCCCATCCTTGGTTATTTGCCATCAATCCAGCTCCCAGACTAAGATCATCAGATCCCGTTTTCCTTAAATTGGTATGTTTTTCGTTTTGGATTATCTTTTCTGTACTAGTTAGCATGCACCCCAGATTTCCAAACTGATCTAGCCTAGTGAATGTAAGTTTTGGTTAAAAGGTATCGTGCTTTGATGTTCAAGTAGGCAATGGTCTTGATTGGTTCTTACCAAGATAAACAAATAATGAAATCAAAAGAAACGGTAATTGAGCTAATATTTATGTTGTAGCTGTTGACTTCACTGCTGGTGATGATCCTTGGCCTATATTTGAGATGCAAAAGGAGTTCAATGCCTTGGGAAAATCACCACCACTTTCTTTGTAAGTTTCTGTTGGTCATTAATAATTCTGTTGGCAGCAGTCAAATGTTCATAATGTTTGCATCCGAGAGTTTTAGACAGGTTGGCTTACACACTGGGGAGAGAAGAATCCAGAGACTGATGCTGATTTTAAAGCAGCTGCCTTGGAAAAGATTTTGGAAAGAAATGGTTCTACAGTGCTTTATGTATGTCCTAAAAGTCGTAATTTTCCTAGTTTCATGTAAAGCTTTATGGCAAAGCTTGTTAACTTTAGATTTCAAATTTGCAGATGGCAAATGGGGGATCAAACTTTGAATTTTATAATGGGGCAAATACTGGTTCGGACGAGTATAATTATTACGCTGAGATGAGTGCTTACAATTGCTCATGGTGATCAAGCGATATAATTATTACGCTGAGATGAATGCTTCTTATTTTCAGATGTTCGGATTTATGTTATACGCAACAGAGTATGCTCTGCAAAAGACAACGATGGTGGAAGCACTGTATCCATACAAAAAGTGTAACCTTCCCTTACTCTATGAAGTAGCTTCCTGTTCATTACTCTTAGAAATTTATCTTCTCCTTTTCCAGGGGAACACAAAGTGTATTACCTCTCATTTGTTCAGATTCCAAGCCACTCGTCTATATATTAGAGAGCTTGATGAAATTGGGGTTCCACCATAAAACCAATTGGCAATATGGGGAGTAGCCCAAGACCATCTAAGCCACCAGCAAGGCTTGTCCCTCACTGATGTGGGACAAATTGCTCCTCACATTTCAACTTTCAACAGAGCTCAAGTTTTTGTAATGTGCTCGTCTGAAGATGGTTATGGAAGACCAACATACGTTGGCACGTTTGAAAGATGGTAAAAAATCAACCTCTAACCCTGTCTAATACGAAAGGTCTTTCTAACATCAGCTTGTTTGTGTTGGTACTTGAATGTCGTCTATTTGTTTTTCTGTTCATCCTTACTTTCATTTCTTAACGTCGAATTTGCCTCATCACATTTCCCCCCCTAATTTGATATATTCTGTTGTTATAGGTTGAAAACATGGGCCGTCTAAATTATGGACCATATATCTTTGACAGGAAGGTAAAGTCAGTACTCAGTTGCAATGAGCAACTGTTTTCTCCATTTCGTGATGAGGTTTATGCAGGCATTACATTTATCTGCCAATGTCATTCGATCTACAATGATCGAATGTTGTCCCACGTGCTTTTGATTTCAAATATATGGATTTGAATGGCAGTCTGTTATTCTTGTTCGTTGTATATGAATATTTCTAGTGGTAGTTTGAACGTCCGAAACCTGAGCAGTGACTCGTAGTTTGGCTTTCCTTTTCAGGGACTGATTCGAAAGAATCAGCATTCTTTGCTGGAGATTTCTCTGTCGGCAAAGAAGACGAAATCAAAGATACATTCATATCATTGAGTGGCAGGGGTAAAGGAATTGTGACTATTAACAATTTCAACATGGGAAGATTTTGGCTGGTCCTGTGTTCTTGATAACAGAAGATGAATTCTTTTACTCGAGATTTGAAATATGTTGCATTTTTGCAGTTAAAAGGGACAGACATGGGAAGAATGTTGTGGTATGAGATGCCGAAAGTTAATTTGAACTGAGTTATATTCTTTTGTTTTCGGTGGTTGCAACGGAAAAACATTTCGTTTCTTATATTCGTTTTGAGTGCTTGCTTTAGCTTGAACATCCACTTGTTTATGTTTTACAATTGCACAGGTCATATCTGAGTTAGAGTCCCCAAACCCGGAGTTTGTGTGCATCAGCTTTAGTGCCACTACGTAAATATGAGACGATCGTGTCTGAAAACATAACCGGACTTCCACTGTTTGTCTCCATTTCGAAATGGTGGTCCTGAAGAAAAATCTTCCACCACGTTTCGTTGATGATAGTTAACAGAGTGTATGCGGAAAAACAAGGGATTAAATAAAAAATCATGTCATTTATTTCAAGTGTTTCAACATTAACTTACATTCAAAAGTAACAACTCAAATGTAGCAAATTTGCTCCTGGGACACACCGGGACAGCCAACACTAACGCTACATAAATTACAGATTACATCAAAAGAAAAACTCATTCGGCTTACTTGTTCGTGTCGTCTTGTCTTGTTCCTACAGCTGCAGTGGCTGCTGCTGTCATGGCAGCTGCCGCTGCACCCACCTTGGCACCACCTGCAGCCTTCGCTGCACCGGCTACTTTGGCAAATGCCGCTATCCCTCCCACTAACATGGCTCTCAAGGCAACTGTTGGTTTTACTGCCGTATCTATCTTATGCCGTTACCTGCAATTTCCATCGATATTAGACTCTTTTTATTGGGCCAAAAACCAACTCTCGTAAACTTGAAAATTGTGCATTTCACACCAGGAAATTATAAATGAAGATGATCAAGCATTACAATGTATAATAGTGCTGGACCATTGGCAGCTTTCAGAGATTAGGCAACACCACACCGATGCTGCCTGATAAAACTTTGTTTTTAAATGGAGGGCAATTCTTTCAACAATTTTTTAGCTAGTTTTAATTCGAAAACAGCTATATCGAGCTTTTTCTGGCAGTATGACATGGGTTACTTCCGCGCCATGGCGCCTAGTACTTAAACATTGGCTCGAGCCATTTTCTCTACCCCTTCTTACCCTGAAAAAATCAGGGGCACCCCGCGTCCTTGAACCAATAACCAAATTGCAGTTGCAGAAAATATTCTCATGTTCTAAGACCATCAACATACAACTTTTGCAGTTGCCAGCTTAACATTCATTAACATGTATCTCAATTCAAAACATCACATTAATTAAACAATCATAGCAGCGTCTTCTTCTTCAGCAACAGCAGCAGCAGCAGCAACAACAACAACAGCAACATCAACAGAAGCAGCATCACCAGTCGCTCGCCTCATATTTCCATCTCTTCCATGTACCCAAACTCAAAAACCCTAACTTCTACACATTTATATACATCTGTGTGTGTGTATATGTATACAATCAAAATGCATATTGGTTTGAATTTATGCTTAATTTTGTTGGGTTTGCTTTATATAATGCAGTTGGTGGAGAAATTAGCGGACAAGATCGAGAATGGAACCAGGGATCTGCAGTCTGATGCATTGGTATTATTTTGTAATTGGGGGTTTTCGAATGTTTTTTTGTTAAAGTTGTTATTTTGAAGGTTTATGAATTTGAATTGTGTAATGGGTTCTGAATTCGGATTGGTTAGCGATTTGAACAACCACTTTGAGAAGTGCCAGCAGCTGCTCAACTCCATATCCGGATCGATCAGCATCAAGGCTTTGGTAATTGAGTTATTTTGATGTTTGTTGCAGGATAATCAATGGGGGATGCGTTGGATGACATTGTTTAATGTGAGAGTTTATGTGGAGTGTGGTCTTGATTAAGGTCTCCCCCATGTTATGTTGTCATTCCATTTGGTTCGCGAATTTAAATATGGTCGATGATTTGGAGTAATAGTTTGGTAGCAGAACATGCCACACCCACACTGTATTACAATATAGCATTTTCTTAGTATTGGAGTGGAATGTTTAAGATTTGTGTGGCTTTTGGTTGTAGACGGTTGAGGGACAGTGATAAGTACCGATGCTCAGCACCCCTGTTCTCAACCTGCAAGTTGCCAAACAACTATGGAGGACGATAGAGACGGAAGGAGAGAGAGAGTTGTTTTCTTTTTGTTATATTGATAATGATTTTTTAATTCATGGTTGGAGGACAACCCCACCAATTTGATTACATATATGTTTCCACTACGACAATTGCCAGCTGGCTAGAATACTAAACAACTAGATTATTACTAATAGAAGTACTAGTAAACTACTAATTGCGATCAGACTAATCACAATCACAATCGTAACATTGCCCACTCCTTCAGATAAACCTTGTCCACAAGGTTGTATTCACAGAAAAAAATCTGGGAATTTCTTAGCCAACTCATCATAATCCTCCCATGTAGCATCTTCTTCCTTGCTGCCCTTCCAATGAATGAGTAGTTGCACTCCCGCTCCATTACCTTTTCTGTAAACTCGCCGTTGCAGAATTGACATTGGTTCCCGAGACTGCAACCCATCTTCTGTTACCACTGGTAGTGTTGTTAGAGGACTAACCCCTGGACCCAAATGCTTCTTTAAACAGCTAACATGGAAGACAGGATGTATTTTGGAATCTGTAAGAAGTTTGAGTTTGTAGGCTACACTCCCAATTCTCTCCAGAACTTCATAAGGGCCATAAAACCTGGGATGTAATTTATGAAAAGCATGTGCAACCAACGATTGCAACTGGTAAGGTACCAATTTCAAATAAACCAAGTCTCCAACTTCAAACTCTTTTTCCCTTCTATGCTTATTAGCTTGAGCTTTCATCCTATTTTGAGCCACCAATAGATTAGTCTTTGTTGGAAATATGCCCTGAAAGTCAATCTTTGGAAGTAACCTTTCAGGACAAATGAATGGATGTATAGATGATTCTTATACATCAAATGGCAAAGACACGAATTAGGACTATCTCAATAAATGATATATGTCTTAAATAGTGTATCCATGGACGATGGATCGATTGAAGAAGTAATCTAATGATGTTAGACTACAGAGACCTTCTTAACATAACCATAATGTCCAAAAGGTTCCTGGTCATTGGATTGTTGGAGGGATACTGACAATGCTTAGATCGGTTACTGTGTCTGCTTCAAATGGAAGGATGGAAAGTCTCATCCCATTCGTGTTGTGACACTAAGACAAGTATGTAGGTGCTCATTAAGGGAATGAGTTCACTGAACACAATTGAACGAGAGTACTTGCATGGAGGTCTACTCACATGTCAAGCAAGTAACTCTAATGGTTGGAATAATGTAAGTAGTCCTTTGACCTGAGGCATCGTCGTTGTCTTGTGGCTAAGTACTTAATCTTTGATTATGTCAAAGTCATCCCATCCGCGGGTGTCCACGGCATGATTGGGGTTAAGCCACTTAGTCATGAAGGCAAGTGTATGCGCAACAAGGGATCTCTAATCTTCGATAAGAGAGGAAGAATACTCTAAGATATGATTCGGGAATCTTCGGCCGAAGTTGATAGGAGCATATTTATGCGACTTAGTATGTTTGTTTTCGTGCATTTATGTTCTTAGTTCTTAGTTATGTTAGTAGTTTAAGCCATTTTTGTGTGTTTGTAGGTTCTATGGGCCAAGGATGCAAAAAGATGCATTTTGGAGCATTTTGGAGCATTTTTGGGCCAAGATTGGATGGTGCAAACATGGAGACATGAGGATGGACGAATTTGAAGTCAAATGAGGCTAGGAACATGCTAAAAATGTGGTGAAACAAATACAAAGTGCAAAAAGGGATAGGTTTCTAGAAGGATTGGCCAAAACTTCACTCAAAAACCTCAATGCCGTGGCTTTTACTTCAAAGCAACCAGAAATTTGAGTGGATGATGCAATGCTTAACTCACCATGACATGTGAGTGGATGATGCAATGCTTAACTCACCATGACATGTGAGTGGATGACTCAAAACCTACCCCAACAACAATTCTCCACCATTGCCGTGAGTTTACCTACCCATTCCACCAGAAATTTGTGCTTAAACAAGTCCATCCTCTCCCTATAAATACCATGCAGCAACCTCATTCAATTCATCTAGAAATTAACCATTCTCCAAGCCTTTCCTTGCCTCTCCTACATATCTAAACCCCTTCCCATCCATTCCTCCAAATAACCAACCCTTCAACATCATTCCAACCTTGTTGTTGCGGCAAGGAGAAGGAGAAAAGTCCTTGGACGCGCTTGCTATCCAACATGGATCGTTGGAACGTTTAGGTGCTTTCTTCCCTTTGTTTTCCAATGTTTAAATTTGTTTATCTTTGTTTTGTAATAATGAGGAACTAAACCCCCCTTGGCTAGGGGGGATTCGAAACCATGTTAATGCTTGCAATATGATTTGATTACTTTTAATTGCGTTTCATAAGTTATGAATTCGATTTACTTATCTATTTGACTGATAACATGTTTATGTATGTTGATTAGGGATGCATACTTAGTTTGCATGCATAAATATGATGCTAGAGTATAAGGGAATTTCACCTAATCGTTATGAACTTATATTCATAAGTAGTAAAAGTCGCTAGTCACGATTGTGTTAAGTAAATCCTTGGCAAGAGTAACATGCGTATTCCATAGTTATGAATGCCTCGTCAATGCTTATGATTTCCATTGAACTTAATGATCTTTGATATGTGTCTCTATCATGCATATTCCATAGTTAGGGTCCTTGATAAGAATAATTTGGTTGTAATGCGTATTCCATTCAATTCAATGAACCTAGGGAAATCTGAGAATTAATTTATGCAATTCATGGTTAATTTGGGGCGTTGAGAATTAATAAGTTATTGAAATGCAATTGGAAATCATTTTGTATGCAAGCAAGACATGTGTGGAGAAGAACCCCTTAGCTAGCCTTCCATTATCCATTCAACCCAAAATTGTTTAAAATCTATTTAAGTTTTTAGTTTATTCGTTTTTACTTTCAACTTCACCAAACTCAAATCCCCCTTTTACTTTCTTGTTTTAAAATCTTTTGTTTACATTTTTAACTTTGTTTCTTTTTGTTTTTGAGTCAGTTTAGAGGTTTTAGCAAGCCCTCCTAATCTCCGGTTTAGAACGATCCCTACTTACATACTTTGCTACAATTGTCAAAAGATGGTTTAATTTGTGTGCTTATATTATTCGCATCAGAAGTATCGAGCGTAATAAAGGAAAGCATTCCTATACGACTCAAATGAATCATATAAGAAGGAATAATCACATTAGGGGTTTGACATAATATATCCATACCCTAGTAATGTGATTGAGAGTATTGTTTTAGAGAAGGATTGAATTACATTGTAATTCCAACTGAATAGGTTCTCCGAATAAACTTTTACATTAGCTTGGGTAGCTATGACATATGGTTAGATGTCACTCATAGCTTGTGAGTTCTTCTAGATGATTAAATGTAGTCATCAAAGAAGAAAGGTGAATTAAAAGGAAGTTTTAATTCACTAAGGGATTGGATTAAATATAATCAATTGGATTGGTGCCAATCACCTCACTGCCTTGCTAATTAGAACCTAAAAGATTGTTCACCAATACACTATTGTACTGAGTAATTAATGGATGATGGAAACAATTAATTGGATTAATTAAGTGTTGTGATTAATTTAGAAAGTCTAAAGAAATCATAAAAGCGATAAAGATCGTTTTGGGCTTAAAGAAACGTTCGGGTTTAATTGGGCCCATTGGGCCTAAACCCATTGGGCTTTTATTCAAGCATTGGATGACTTGAAATAAATGAAAGCCCAAAGCCCAACAACACAAAGAGGGCCGGCCACTTTAGGTGGAAAGGGTGAGATATTTAGTCAAGTTGTTGACTAGGTTTCTTTTGTCTATATAAGGAACTTTATAGAGATATTGTTCATTAGGGTTTTTGTGTGTTTAAAACAACAAAGAGGCAAAAGAAATATCTCTCTAAAACACATCAAAGGCCGGCCACCTTGGGGTGATTTTACTAACACATCTTTCACCTTTTGGTTATTCCTTCATCCTTCTCACTACACTAGTGGGTGAGGATCTTTAGAGGTTTTCAACTTTGGAAACTTGAAGAGAACCTAGGAGTACTCATTCTTTCAAAGTGGAGGAGGCAAGGAGGGAGGCTAGGCTCAAGGATTTCAAGGAGCAAAGGGCTTGGAGGTGGTCCATCCTTGGTCTTAAATCTAGATCAAGAGGTATAAGACTAAACCTTCACTTTGTTCTTGGTTCTCTAAAAATGTTTTTGATGCATTATATATAAACCTATGAACCTTGAAGGGGATTTGCATGACTATTGCTTTGATATTATTTGATAAATGCTTCCGTTGCTCATGTATATAAATTTTGAATTGTATATGCATGCTAGTCATTTAGAAATCCCAGGCTCCAAAATGCATCCTTTTGCATACTTTGCCCTTAGAACCTGAAAACACATAAAACTAGCTTAAAAGACTACTTTACTAAGGAAAAACACTATAAATGCACAAGAACAAGCTAAACTAAGGCGCATAAATATGCTCCTATCAAATCCCATACATGAATCTCAAAGATTTCCCTTCAGTCTTGAGCATAGAGAAAAGATTATCCCTTGCTAACAATCCTTGCTCAATTATATCCAGTTTTGCAGTGCCTTTTTCATAAGAAGCAATATGTGGAGGGGGATACCTATAAACAACTTCGAAAGGAGAATTTGGATGAACTATGAACTGAAGAACTATAACTCCATTCTGCCCATGGGAGCCAATAAAGCCACTTTTTGGGTTGACAACTTGTGAAGCACCTAAGATAGGTCTCCAAGCACCAGTTAACCACCTCAATTTGGCCATCACTCTGAGGGTGGTATCCTGAACTCATACACAGCTTAGACCCACTCAATTTGAAAAATTCTTTCCAAAAAGCACTGAGGAATACAATGTCTCTATCACTTACTATGGTTGCTGGCATGCCATACAGCTTGAAAACATGCTCTACAAATGCT